ACAACATTTCATTTTTTTCAAATATGACCCTTTAAAAAGAAGAAAACAACAGTGGTTCAATTTTAAAATGACAACTTTACCTAAATAATATACATTTGTAATATATCAGTAATATATCTGACTATTAATATATGTATGTGATATACGTATGATATACTATTGATATGAGTGTCTGATATATTTGCAATATGTATGCGATATAATATATGTGTAATATGTATGTGGTATACATCTAATATATTACTAATATGAGTGTTTGATATACTATTGATATAATATTAATATGAGTATCTCATATGTTAATACCACTGGTATTAAGTTAAAAAAAAATTGCTAGATTTGAAAATTTAAAAAACTTAGTTGGAAATAATAAATATATATAAAAAAAATATATTGCTACCAATTTTACTAAAGATTAAGGAACATTCATATATTTAGTTAATTTTTAATAAACTAAATTTATAATTAAACCAGCGCAAGAAACCACGTGTATCACGCCATTCGTGGGCAATTACGTCATTCTGCCTGCAACCGTCAGTTTTTGTTTCTTTGGATTCTTCAGTCTTCAATAATGAATCAAATATATATATCATTTGAAATTTATGATGGGACCTGACCAGTATGGAGACAATCCAATCCTCCTCATAATAAAGATTGAAGCAACTTTTTCTTTTTGGTTAAAAAAAAAAAATTCAAAAAATCAAAATCAAAATCACTTCAAAAAGTCGTTTGTAATGAAACATTTAGAATAATATTATAAAGCACTTTTTAAAAAGTCATTTAGGAACTACTTGACAGGTTAAAAAAATGATTTTGAAAAAAGAGATTATTACTTTTTTTTACTTGTATTTAGAATTTGTAATTAGTTTTAAGTCAATTTGTGCACAACTTAGTGGATAAGACATACCGGTAGTTCTGTTAAAAAAAAAAGACATACCGATAATTAATTTTTCACTCTACAAGGATTGAACATACAAAAAAATAATTAATTTTCCACCCTCCAAGCATTGAACTTAAAAAAAAAAAAACTTTTTTTTAACCTACTCTCGACTCATAAAAATGGTGATGTATTTAAGAATATGTTAAATTATAAGTTTTACCTCATCAATTTTTTAAATATTTTATCTATTTAGTTTATGCACTTTAGAATTTTGTTAGGCCCTTGAAAATGTGATGTATTTGAAAATATGTTAAATTATAAATTGAGTATATTTGGGAGTGATGGTAGGATGAATGATTTTAAGAAAATATATTTAAGTATAATTCATTTCTCAAAATCGTTACCTTAAAAATTATTTTAAACTTTAATAAAATCAAAATTTTAATTTGTCATGATCATTGGGAAGTGAATTGATTTTGACAATGATAAAAGTATTTCCAAACACACGATTGAGCTCTGTTTGGAATTTCAAAATTCCTCAAAATCATAGTGAATTTGAAATCAAATCTATTGTTGTTTGGATGAAGCGTAAAATTTAGAATTTATTTTTCTTTCAAATATTTTCCAATCTCACATAACTGGAAGTTATTAGGATTTTAGTTTTAAAATGTTAAATTCGACCGCGGAGAAAAATGAGAAACAACAACTTGTACGCATTTATAATGCATCACTCTAAAATTTAATTATTTTTTTAAAATTTGAATATAAGCCCCATTTAGCATGTAATTTTGTTTTTAGATTTTAAACAACCTACCTTTTATATTTGCAAGGTTCTTTTCCTTTACAATAAATATGAAATTGTCGTTTTAATTTATTACATTAATTTGATTTAATTAAAAGATCCACTTTCTTTCATGATTATATATAATTGATATTAAAACGTATTATTGTTATTATATCTCGTAAAATTGTAAGGACATAATAGTAAAATATTATATTTTCTTTTCATTTCTCATGAACATTCAAACAATAAATTTTAATTTCTATGATTTGAAATAAATTTAGTTCTAAAYGCCATTAATAATTAAAATCATTTCAATTTTTTAAGATCCTAGAATTTGAAATCATCTTTGACCAATTTCAAACGCCAAACGAGACATTAGTCTATAAACTTTTAAAGTTGTGTCTCTCTTTAGTTGTGTAATTTAAAATTTTCTAACAAGTCACCTAACTTTTATTTGTATCTATTTACTTCTTATATTTTAAGTTTTCCAACATAGGTAACTTTTATTTATTTTTTCTCTCTTAACACTTATATGACAGGTTAATTATATATTATTTAAAATCATGTAGTCGACTAAAATAATCATTTTAAATAATATAGTTAGTATGCAGCATAAGCAACGAACTAATAAAGAAACTTATTAGATTTTTTTTTAAGTATAAAAACTAAACAAACACAACTTTGAATGTTCAAAGATAAATTTATAATTTAACTTGAAAAATACCGCGCTCGAGTTAGACCAAATTCATTCTAACGATTATGATTTAAGTTATTTTATTTAGTTGATCTCATTTCATATTACTTTTAGATGTAGGTTATATGTGGCTATAATATTAAGAAGCCATAAAGAAAGATCTCTCCATTATTAATTTGAAAAATGTAAAATGAGACAAAACAAAATGGGCTGAGAAAATTCCAGAAAAGCCCATACATATTGGGCCTTCAATTCTTGTATTTTTGTGTGTGAGAGATGAAAAGTTGGAAAATTTGAGGGAGAGGAAAGATTTGAAATTATGATCGAAAGAATTCAAATGTTTTAGAGAAAAGGGTTGAGATTAGAATATAGAAATAGTNAAGAAAATAGAAAAAGGATTATGTTATATAGAATCAAGCTTATCAAGGCATGATAATAGTTCCCACTAGTTGACGACATAATTCTTTCGATGATCATAGTACAACTATTTTAGGGGTGTTTGACCTCTAGAAATATTGAAAAATAAAATTCGAGCATTCGATTACTTGCCAAAGAAATCATTGAGCTCTCGTTCAAGCTAAGGTAGGTCAATTTTCTCCCTTGCATCTCATCTATCAACAGCAAAATATTGAAGCCCATTTAGTAATGCTCTCTTTTATCATTTCTTGTTCCTAATTTTTAGAGATAATGTTTTAAGATGGCTGTTTTATAAACTAATTTACGAAAATGTCTAAATTTTTTTTTTTAATTTTATACTGTAGAATTTTATTTTGATTTTGATTTTACCCATGTTTATTGCATTTACATTTATTATAGTTATTTGTTTTTTTAATATAAAAGATTTAATTCCATAAATTATTATCATAATCCTTTAATTATTGTGGGCCCATACTAATTTTCAACATAGATCTCCAATTCACTCCTTCAAAACCTTAATTTACTCCTCCAAAGAAGATTGATTTTCCCCTAATTCACTCCCACATTGGTGCTCAATCTTCAAAACAATTAAAAAACAATTCAAAATTACAGAAACATCTTTTGAAGTCTAGATAAACATATATCCGCATATTCAAAAAATATATTAAAAAAATCACAGTATATATCCACTTATATATCTGCATATATACATTCAAAATCACCATGGTATATATCCACATATATACAAGTTGAGTTATAAGATATATCCATTCATATATATATTCGCATATCCGCATATATACAAGTTCAATTATAAAATATATCATAATCAAATCACTATACTATATATCATCACATATACATCACACCTAATTAGAAATTGAAAACATCCGTTGGAATGCAAACCTTTCAATCTGGAGATGAACTGCTCTTACGACTGAGAAAAATGGAGGCGGCCGAAGATAAGGCAATCAAACGTCGGTCGGAGACGAAGGCAAGCAGAAATGCCCGGAGAATAAGAACCGACATAAATCTCTTTTCGAAGGCGGTCAAAGATGAAATGTTCTTGCGACAAAGAAAAGCGGAGCCGACCGGAGAGGAAGACAAACAGTTGGAGAAGAGGAACATAGGGTTGGAAAAGAGGAACGAAGGGTCGTAGGAAGAAAAGAAAAACCAGGAAGAAGAAAGGGGTGAGTTTCGAAAATGGATAGGTTTTTGTGGTTTTGAGATTTTTAATTTTGGAAACTACTGTTATAGCTCTTTATTATTTAATATTGACATGAATCTTAAGGATATGCTAATAATTTGTGTTATGGTACCATATAATTAGGGATTGTTTCATGACAAAAGTGTAAACTTCATCTTCTTACGTATTTCTAAATAGACTATCTATGTACTGATTCGTAATTTTTAATAACATTCTCATAATTGTATGGAATTTTTAGAAATAACAAAAACAAATTTCTTAATAAATGGGTTGTTTGAGTCATTAGGTGTCATTTTTAATTTCTTCCAAAATGTAAATGTGTTGTTTTATCGTTTCCTTAAGTGTTGGAGGCTATGTAATTCTATTTTTCTTTATTAGAAATAAAAAAACAAAAACAAGAAATAGAACTAAGAAACTCATTTAGATTGTTTCCAAAAAACATGATCCATTCATGTTTTATAGCAAGTTAAAAAGCCAACAAGAAATAAGAAACTCATTTAGATTGTTTCCAAAAAATTTATAGAATTTTCAAAAATAAAAAACAAAAAACATAATTAATCGCAAAATACTCAGATTTTTTATGGTATACTACTTATTTTGGCTATGCTTATTTTTTTTTTATTATTACCATTCAAATTTAAGATAGAGGTTCAAACTTGTAATAATATCTTAACTAGTATAACTTTCGAACACGTCAAGCAAAATCAAACCTCCAACTTTAAAAAAAGAAATTATTTAAATAACTTTTAGACACGTCAAGCCAAATCAAACCTCCAACCTTAAAAGAAGAAACTGTTTTACTTCACTGACGAAACAAAATTTAGTTCCTTGCTTCTCGTGCAATATGGCCCATGGGGGTGGGGAATTTTTAAACAAAACTAACATTCAAAATTTTCCGTTTGGTTACAATCCTAGCCTTCCATCTGGTATTCCTATGTGATATTTTAAAAAAGAATTGAACTGTTTAACTTATAAAATTCCATGGGATATACGTTCTCATACAATAAAACTCAACTAATTAATTTTAAGAAGAAATCAAATCAAAATTAGCAAAAAGTGTAAACAACAGCAGCCACCACTATATCCTGATCTAACTGGGGCAAGTAAACAGGATATTACTTGCACAAAATTGGTAAATCAATGAAGTAAAATCATATTGAGGGCTGAAGTCAAAATTTGCTGGAGTTCTCCTGGGCAAGAATGAGTGAAGCTAACCTTGAAAAAGTGCTTCTAATCACTATTCAAGAATCTCACCCTCCTCCAATTCTTCCACGGTGAACACGTCCCCAAGAAGGTCGGCGGTTCCTTCCATTTCCACTCCCTTGGAAAAGTCTCCTTCCCAATCAAGAAAATCATCTGGATTGATTTGTGCCATGATATTTGAATATGTGTCTATCAGATCTTGCTCAAAATCAAACTCCAATTCTTTCAGAACCCCTACTTCCTTGGCCTGGGAGCTTGAATTGGGGCTATTCCTAACTTCATGATCCTCCATCAAATCTGCAGAGTGATTATATGTTGCACCATGCAGATTTTGGGGTTCGACTTCACAACGTGGGCTCGAGGTTGATACTTTCATCAAATCAAGCACCTGAGGATTGAACGAGACGTCGTCTTCTTCTATTTCTTCCACTCTGAAGGGAACACCTTCAGGACTAGCATGATCATCTTTTCCAGTGTTTTTACCTTCTGAATGACTCACTGGGTTGGCAGTTTTAACTACTTCGAAGTTAGGAGTTTGAGAGGGTAGAAAAACATATATAACAGGGTATTCCAAAACAACCAAATTGGAAAACAGTTTCCTTATCGGCAACCCTGAGTCCAGCTCACGAAAAGGCGAGGTAGCTCCCTGTATCCATATTAAAAATAATCAAAAAAGCAAATTAAAAGAAGCCATTGGAAATGATTTCAAGCAAATAGCAGCGATGCAATTCATCCTTAAGGAATACTTTATTAGTGAATTGACAAAATTCTACAAATATAGGCTCAGTCGCTCAGATACGCACAATATTGATATCCTAGAGTTTGAAATCATAAGAGAAAGAGAGGTTTATATTACCTTTTTTTTTCTCATATCAAAACTAATAACTAGCTCTTCCCTATAACAAAAAACTACATGAATCTCTACCTAGTAAATAATATGTGGGTGACTTTCTTTTTGTCAAAGAATCAAAGATAAGCAAATAACATGTTGATTGTCGCATAGAAGTGCACCATATATCAAGGTGCATAACAGATAAATAAATAAATAAATAAAAAGATTAAACGTCACTAGGAAAATGTAATTGATACATCTCAAAACCGAAAGGGATTGATTTATAACCTTGGGGTATGTACGGACAAATAACTTGACACTATCTAGCTGCTGAAAGAACTTTTGAAGTTGATTTTTCCATGGACTTGGTTGTAGATGGTTTTCAAGAACGGCAGAAAGCTTTGTGTTTTCATTAACTCTGCAGAAAAAGGAAAATAGTTTTAGAGCATGTCATTGGTCAGACCTGAATAAAAATACCACTTTCCATGAACGAAGAGAAGAATCAAAATGGAAAGCTTATAATCCTTCCAATGATGTGGGGAAGAAAACTCTCACCCATGGTCAAATAAAACAATATCCGTAGAGTTAARCTTCCACTCAATTGTCCAAAAGATTGTCTTTTCCCTGGAAACAAAACAACTTTATTAATTTAAAAGGAAAAAAAATTTGACTAGAAATAGAGTTGCTTCCTACAAAACAAGTTAGGTGCCTGGTGATTTGTCCAACTCTTGAGAATAATTAATCTCGAAACTGTAGTAATACTACTACCACTCTTACAAAAAAACTACAGGTACTCAGATGACATAGAAAAAGCTAAGAACCCAATTTTCTAGTCGTTCTAGAATGTAATGGAAGGTTTTGGTTCTTCTCTATCACTTTCCTTTTTCCCTCTAAAACTCAACGGTTGAACACAGTGAAACGAATGTCAATATACAAAATGTTGCATGATTCTCGATAGTCTGTAATAGTTTCAAATAAAATAATAAACCAACAACTACTTTTTGAACAAGAACATCTAAAAATCTGCTAACGACTCTTTGAAGTTTGAACTTATAGATTCACCAACAACGTTATTCAATATATGATGAAACAACTTTCTAGGTAGCTGATAGATAGATAAATAGAGAGAAAATAACCGCTTATCGTATCGAGTTTGATTTTTCTCCCTTTTCGTCATTCCAGTGGGAAGAAATAGGATTTTTGTTCTCCGACTTGAAGCAGCAGTGCCCAGGCTTTTAAGGGGAAACGGTAGCCGAAAATAAGCATGAGTATAGGGGCACAATTTCTTTCTTAGTCTTTGAGCAGATTCAGACACCCTCTTCACTTCCTCCAGCAAATTATAATCTACACATGGTAAAATCAACCACCACATCCATTTTTAGGGGCACAAAAACACAGATATGACTAAAAGTTTACTGGACAAATTACTTCCCGCAATTATTACTTAAGTAAGTATCATCCGATTACTCAAATTCAAACAAAATTATTAAAGAACTGTATAAATTATCACGCAGTGCCGTCAAAGTAGAAAATAAATTACAGAAAAAACAAATACGACCAATACCCAAACCAGACGGCTGATCCAAAAGACTAAAACCCAGCTACAAATTCGAGTTTACGATCAGACAGCAAAAGGATCCATCGGCTAACACTAAAAGATTTAGAAACTCCAGAATCAAACCAGAAGCATTACTAATTGAAACATTCAAAACGAGTGAGGTGAATTCAGACAAGGGATTGAAGAGTTGAAGAAAGAAGTACCAGAAAGTAGGATACTGTCGTTGAACTGAGAAATCGGGACGAATTGCGTCTGCTTCCTCTTGCCCGTACATCCACTGCGGCGCTTGTGAGAGTTGACGCAAGTAAGGCTACAAGAACGAACGGAGCAGGCCGGGCAATTGTACTTCGACTGGTTCGAATTACACTCTTGGCAGAGCGATGACCTTTCGCGGTTGGAGCTCGTGGAAGCAGCCGGTTGTGGGTCTCCTTCCGCCATCTCAGTCGCCGGCGAGAGAGCCGTTTTGCGATTTACAAAGACTTCCGAAGAAGAGACGACTAGGTTTATTTGTCCAAAATAATTTGAAGGGTTTTTATATTATTTAACCCTTATTTGTAATTGTAATATTCTTTAGAAAAATCAAATCCCACTAAAATTCAATAATTTTTTTTTTTTTTTAAGCAAATGATATAAGATTGTTGAACTTAGACTGCAAGGGGTATGAGTATAACACTCGAGCCATGTTTGTCCAAATTATATATGATTTTGAATTAATTTTAAATTTGATTGTGATTTTAAAAATTTTAAATTCCTCCTTACAATTTGGTTAAACTTTACAAAAGCGTTCATAGTAATATTTTATCCCACAAACATAATTTTTTGATTTCTTAAAAAAATTCTGTTTTTACTACTTTTGACTTATCTATAAACTTTGGCAAGAACGAGGATTGAAAGATCGACCTTTGACATGATATTAAGTAGATACCCTGTCCATCCTGTTTGAATCGTTATAAAATATTAATTTATTATCTATTAGACAAATGTGTTGCATATTTAATAAAAATAAACAAGAAAGAAAAAAAAGGATCATACATGAAGTTGATCGTATTACAATATTACAATAATTAAATTTGAACTTCTAAAACAAAACTATCAAACTAAAATTAAGTTCAAGTTGACTAAATTGTCTGTCATATATCTTCTCAATAACTAGTTAAAGTACATAAAAGAAAGCATATATCTTCCATAAAAGGGAATGAATTTGAATCTAAAAAAATTAATATTATTTTCTGGAAAAGAAAAACAGATTGGGCCAAAACACTAGAAAGTACAAACGATTGAATTGGGCTGCGATACAAAGCTGAAGCCCAAAAGAATAAATTGGGCTACGGTAATTAAAGCCCAACCCCAAAAGATGGAACTGTGTTACTGAAGTTTCAGCCGAAGCCCAAAATATTGAAGTGGGCCACGGTAGCTCCAGCCCAACAAGCGGAATTGAATGCAACTATAAGCTCGAAAACAATTCAGCTGTAAATCGAGTTCACATCCGTCCGTCCCTTTTATTAGGAAAGAGAAAACACATTTCCAATTTTGATGACCAAAAAAATTGTTCTTGCACACACAAACTCAGTCCCAAATACTCAGGTCAGGAGTTGAGTGTTCTTATTCTCTATATCGCCGTCGATTTCCGTTTTACAAGATTCAGTTCAATTCCTAGACTTCAATGCCAATCACAAGCGGAAGTTCTGCGCACTTCGCCGGAGATTCGTGTTCCTTCCGGCAGATTTGAGCTCGAAGTCGGCATTCCTCGTTGCCTGTAGCTTCCGCTGTCTCATAATTCTGTTTCTACATTATTCTTGCTGCTGGCTTTCTGAGTGTGCGAAAGGGTTTCTGGTCGGTTGCGAACTGGCTATGGACTACGAGCCGTATGATAGTAGCGGTAAATTAGCTATAATGATGCTTCTTTTCAGTTATTAGGGTTTTCAAGTGTTCTATCAGGGAAATTAAGGAGCCCGTCTAGTTTTGAGAATTGGACTTCCAATCTTGCTTACGGGGCTTGGGGGGACGGTACTATTCTTTGACGTTGATGGTTGCTCGGAGGAACACGCGAAGTTTTTCAATCCTGTACTCTAGTTCTCGAGAGAATTCTCTATCGGAAAAGTGAAATGTTCTGAATCCTTCTTCGAGAAATTATTGACTGCATAGGTGTTGGAGGTTGATACCTGCAGGATGTATTGGAATATAAAAATTTGGAGCTTTTTTTGTTTTTTTTTCCTCTAATATTTACGAGCTTAAACAACCTGCCAATTCGTGCAATATCTCTCCAGAATGTGACTAGCTGTTGAAGTGTGGATATAAGTCATTTCTAGTTGTATTTCATTAATGACCTTCAGTACTTTTTCGCATTTATTACTTTTTTGTATGTTTATTTTTAACCTAAATGGATTGAATTTTTTTGCCTAGAGTACTGACATCTCAAAGAACATTTTTAATCTGCTCTAAAAAATTAGACAGGAAAGTTTTTAGGACAAAATCTCAGCTGGTAGCACTTCATTTTCTTATAAACCGTCTTTTCAACTATGACAAGCCGGTTAAGCGCAGACCAAGTATAAAAATGGTTGAAGTTGTCTGGCTAATAGGCTTTTGGGGTTCTCAGCATTTAACAATATTTGTGAAGGAACTAGTTTATCAGTTATTAATATACACGGTTAGTATCTAAGTCATTGCCCGCAATTGCACACATTTTAATTGTTCTCCTTTTAATTCAAGACTCGGGCTAACCTTCTGCCATTGTGAAGTAACATTATTGCTTGATTCTTAATCTACTGTTCAGTCTCTTAACTATCTTGTTTCTGGAAGACAATGGCTACATTTGTCCCTAACATCTATTATTTGGACTCAGCTAGATCAAGATGGTCTAATTTTTGCGGCGATGTCCATTTCAGGAACTGATGACGATCTCCCTCCATCTCACCAGAATAGAATTGCAAGAGGAGGAGGCCGTGTTTCAGGGAATGGAAGATCAGTTATGGGTTCTGTCCCATATCCCAGGATATATGGTGAAACTGACATGGAAGCGCAAATTCATCAACTTGAGAAGGAAGCTTACAGTTCCGTTCTTAGAGCCTTTAAAGCTCAAGCTGATGCCCTTACTTGGGTACTTTTTGTTTCTATTTTAAGTATCTAATATTGGTATATTTGTTTGATCAGGTTTAAATGACTGCTACATGAAATGTATTTTCTTCAGGACAAAGAAGGTCTAATCACAGAACTCAGAAAAGAGTTAAGACTGTCAAATGAGGAGCATAGAGAGCTTCTAGGACGGGTTAATGCAGATGACATGATTAGAAGTATAAGGTTTGATTACATGAAAAAACAATTTATTAACCAGTATTTTAGGTTTTTGGCAGTTTTCAGGGCGCTTTTATCATTGATGGACATTTTTGGGTTATGTTGTAGGGAGTGGAGACAGGCAGGTGGACATCAGCCTGGCAAGCTCAGTACTAGTCAAGCCATTCATGATCCAATACCCAGCCCTACTGTCTCTGCATCTCGCAAGAAACAGAAAATAACCCATTTGGTTCCTCCACAGTCCTTTACTGGGCCATCTCCATCCTTTCACCAACAAAACGTTGCTCCTCCTCATCAGCCATCCTCATCTGTTGCAAAAAGAGGAGCCATCCCTACAACCAAGGGCAAAAAGCAAAAATCTGTAAGTTTCAGATGCATTGATACTGATTGACCTTATTCTTCATTTTCTTTTGTTTATTTTATTTTCCTTTCCCTCAGATATTACCTGGGGCATCTTCAGCTAAACAATACCAAGCTTCAGTTCCTAGCGGAAGGAATCAAGTTGCTAATAGGGTTTCTTCTGGAGCTATTGAACCAGCTGACGGAGCAACACTGAATCCACTTATTGGGAGGAAAGTGAGAACTAGATGGCCGGATGATAATAATTTTTATGAAGCTGTTATAACTGATTACAATGCTGCTGAGGTAAATTACCTTCTAATTGTGTACTAGCTCATGTTTCATTGAGGAAAGTTGTTGAAAGTACATCTACGTATACTCAGGGACGACATGCTTTGGTTTATGATATGGGTTCTGCTAAGGAGACGTGGGAGTGGGTGAATCTCTCAGAGGTATATCTATCTATAATCTTTTCTTTTATAGTTTTACCCTCACCTGCTGTTGTATGGCCATTTGCATCTCCTGGCTATATATTTTTCTAATTCGGAATTGTGTGAGAAATTGAGAATTATTGCAAGGACCTTAGATGATGAATTTAAGAGTTCATAAATTAGCTCAGAAATTGGGAAGTGGTTTCTGGTTTTTCTTTCTTTCCTTTCTTCCTTTATATGTAGTACCTATGATGTATTTTACTACCTGGAATTTTTGACCTTAGATCCTTCTTCTTTTGATATCAATAGAAGCACCCTAGTCCTTTATTTTTGAAATTTTTTACTTCTATATTTGTCTGGTTTCAAAATATTTTCAAGCTTTTGTTTTAAGATCATGAAGTTACAAGCAACAGAAAATTAAAGTAAACTCCATATCCCTTATTTTCTTTTCAGTACTGGCAATTGATTTCATATCTTTAGAATTTATTCTACTCATTGCACTTAAAACGTCTGTTGATAACAATAAAGCTTCTACTTTGTTTCACGTGTAAAACTTATGAGAACTATAGGTTGCAATTTGTGTACATGATATTTTTGGTGGCATTAATGCTTTACTAAAGAAGAAAACATGGAAAATGAAACTTAGGATTAATGGTAACTTCACCGTTATAGCTACCGGTAAACCTAAGGGCAAGATTTGGGCTACCAAAGGGCTTAGAGGGCAAGATTTGGAAAGTCCGTGACAAAAAGAAATGTTGCCCAACTAGCCAAGTGGCTTTGGTGCTTCCTTTAGAGTCTGAAAATTTGTGACACAAGGTTATCGTGAGAGGATTCAGGTGTCAGTCTACCACTTTAGATACTTTTGTTGAGGCTAAGGGCCTCTGGAGGAGTTCACAGAAAGTCATTTCACACCGTCTTCTATTTTTTAAAAAATTTATGAAGTATTTTGTTGGGTCCTGGAGATGGGTTTTGTATTGGTTTTTGCAATGGTTACTAGATTGTCAATGACACCTTCAATATTATTATGTGTAAATATGGTCTGCACCCTTTTGCTTTATGATATAGGACCATTGTGAGTAAATACGGTTCGTACCCTTTTGAGTGGGTATCGGCTTATGCGTCTATAACCTATTCCAAAAGCCTCTGGAATGCTATTTTTTCTCTTTTGGGTAATATTTAGATGTGTCTTGGGAGGAGGGATTTTTGTTTATGCCCCAAACCACCCAACCCTTATGGGGACTTTTCTTGTAGCTCATTGTTCCAGAATTTATGTGTTCCTCCCATGGCCCTTCTTTCTCCTCTCTTTGGAAGGTTAAGATTCCCAGGAAAGTAAAATTTTTTGTAATATGCCATGAGAGAGTTAACACCTTAGATCATATTCAGAGGCATTCCTCCTTTGTGTTGGGCCTGCACATGGTGCAGTCTGTCCAAGCTTGCGTCGGAGTATCTCAATCATATTCTTTGGGAGTGCTCGTTTGTCAGGCTTTATGGAGTCGCTTTCCTTCAGCTTTTGGGATCTTGTGGTCGCGTAATAGGGATTATTGTTATATGATAGATGATGTTCTTAACTTTTCTTCCTTTTGTGATAAGGGGAGAGTTATTTAGCATGCTTGTTTTTTTTGCTGTTTTAGGGGGTTTATGACTTCAGACGTAGGGTAAAATTTTTAGGGGGAAGAAGTCCTGTAGAAAGGTATGGAAGGTTGTTAGATTTAATACCTTTTTATGGGTTTCGGTTACTAAACTGTTTTGGAATTATTAGTTAGGTTTTATTACTTTTGATTAAAGACCGTTCATTAGTATGGACTTCTTTTGAAGGGGCTGGTTAAGTATGTCCTTGTTTTTTATTTCAGCTTTCTCAATAAAGCTTGGTTCCATAAAAGGAAAGAAAAGAAAAGAAAAGAAAAAAACAACAATGACACCTTCCATAACCTCTTTCCTTGCCTACCAATCTTTCTTTATTTAAAAATTCTTTTGGTAATCCTGTCATGCTGTGAAATGGTAATCCTCCCTCTCTTTCTCACTAATCTTAACTTCCAATTTAGGAATCTCTTTTTGATCTTGAGTATGGACGTAACTTCACTTCTCCTATTAAGTGGTGTCTGTCTTTATTCCAATTCTGGTGACTTTCATATTTGGGCCTTAGATTCTTCACGGACTTTCAAGTCTTTTTCTCCTACTTTATTGCTCAACCCTCATTTTGATCTCGAAAGAAAGTAAAGGTATTTCTTTGGTCTTTAGCTTACCGAGCCCTGAACACATCTGAGAGGCTCCAGAAGAAATGTCCAAACTGGTCGATATCCCCTTATGTCTGTTGTTTGTGCTTGAGAGAAGCAGAATCCTTAGATCATTTGTTTCTCCGCTGCCCTTTTTCTAATAAAGGTTGGCTGGTGTTGTTTGAGATCTGTGGGGTCTTGGTCTGCTTGCTTAGGAACGTTGAAGACTGGTTGATTGAATGTTTTTATGGATGGCAGCTCAAAGGAAAGGCCTATATTTTGTGGAAGTATGCTTTCAGAGCGTTGTTATGGAACATTTGGATGGAAAGGAACTCGCGCTTGTTTGAAGATAAGTCTAAGTCTTTTGATTCTTTTTGTAACTACAGCCTCTCCATGATATTACAAGATTGGAGAGCCCTGTCGTGTTAGTCTCTTTTGCGGAGGGGGTCTTCTCGTCCCCTGTCCCTTAGGATGTTTTGTGCCCGTTCTATCTTACGACTTGTTTCTTTATCCAAAAAAAAACCCTCATTTTCATCTTCCCCTTCCCCTTTCTTTGGCAAACTTTAGAAGGTTGGTTAAAATCCAAAGATTTGATTTTTCTCTTAGCTGGTAGCCTTTGAGAAGATTACCTCCACAATTATGTCCAAAGGTCTTTAGTGGTGTGTTTGTGTAGACTGAGTGTTGGAAGTTCTAGAAGTTCTAGATCGTATTTAGGAAACTGTCATTTCTCTTGGAGACTTTGTGGCAATTTCTTGAGATCTTCGATGTTAGCTTGGCTCCTGATGGGATTGTTGGAACATGGTGGATATGGTTCTTCTACACCCACTCTTTCGTAGTGGACATCTCTTGTGGCATACAATGTTCTTTGCTAATATTTAGTGTATTTCACTTGATCACCAATGGTTCAAAGATGTCATACAATTTGGATTGACTTAAGTGATAAGTTAAAATACCTCAGAAGGTTAAGGATTGCTTGAATGTTGTTTCCTGGGAGAGGGTTCTCTCTTCCCACTGCCCTTAGACTGTTTTTGTTCTTTGCTTTTGTTTATTAAAGGTTTCTTACCCAAAAAAAAGGACTGCTTGAATGTTATAGGACAGTAGTTCATTAGAACTCAGTGGACATTTTGTGATCACTGACCAGGGATTTCGGGGCACTAAAGATGTATACATTTCCTAACTTACAAATTTCTGAGGACAGGAAATGTACACAGTATTGAACATGGTGAAGTTAAAAATCAAATGAGTTTGTAGGTATCAAAATTTAAAGTTGCATCATTCAGGCCATGTTTTTTCTTCTTTTACATATATTACTTATATGGACAGGTTTTATGTGAAGATCCAAATTTGAGATTGTATTGCATGCATCATGTATGTTATGTAATCTATTGGATAAATGATTTTAAAATGCTGAAGAATTCATCTGGTTGTATTTTTGCCTATTGATGGTCAGTCGATAGTTACTGACAGGTCAAATGTCCTGTTTTAAGTTATAGTTTATATGATAGGATCTCATATTACCTGTTTGAAATTTTACTGGATTGGAAGATCTGAATTTTGAGAAACGGAATACGATTTTCTTGCTCGTTCTTAACTTGAATTGGCAATGCAGATTTCTTCTGAGGACATCCAATGGGTTGATGAGGATCCTGGAGTCCCGCATCGAGGTGGTTATGGTGGATCAGGTCATGGAATGAATCGTTCAGTAGGACGTGATGGTGTTGCTGGTGCAGGTAGAGGTAGGGGAGTCGCCAAATCTCAGTCCAGAAAAGATTTTTTGCCGGCCCAAAATGGCATCGGAAAGAAGACATCTGATGATATACGGATACTCCACACAGAGACTCTAATTAGAGAGGTACGAGCAATGGGGATGTTATATTCTTTCGACCTTTACTAAGTAGTTTGGCTTTCTAGCATCTTAATTTCTTTTTGATTTGGTTAGGTGGAGAGAGTCTTTGGTTCAAATCATCCAGATCCTGTTGAAGTTGAAAGGGCAAAAAAAGTTCTGAATGTAAGAAGCATTATTACTGCAGTTCTGCATTTTATTCTGTTCACCTCATAATTTACATGCTAATTTCCTTCATCCAGGACCATGAACAATCACTTATCGATGCTATTAATAGGCTTGGAGATATTTCTGATGCCGGAAGTGGTAATTTTATTTCAATCTGGACCATGCTTTTCATTGAAGTTCATTCCCCATGCTTGATAAATTTCACTTGTATCATTCATATATTGATCACTCAGAACAATCCATTATACCAGCTAATGTCCTTCAGTTCAGAACACCCATTGACATGAGTTATAATTTTACATCCCTTGATACCCTGTCTTGTTTGGCTGCTTTCATAACAGACGAAGGTGGCCACCGGTTCTCTCATGGGCAATCGATGGACCGGGAATGACGGTAGTTGTTTCAAAATGGAGGTGGTTCACTCTGCAACAGCATCCTTTTGGTACAAAAGTCAACTGGATGCGGTAAGCAACTTTTGAGTTAATTGGGGAGTGACACACACACCTATCTCTCTCAAAGGCCCCTTTCCTGTAAAATAACCATATGATTGAGTTGAATGTTCCTTCGCTTAGGTTAACTTGGGGTTTTTGCTCTCTATTAGCATAGATATTGTTCTTAGGAGATGGGGGTTGATTGTTTTCTTCATTTTTTTTTCTTTTTGGTAAGAATTAACATAGGAAGGCTGTGATACTTGTGTAACATTATTTGAATAGTGATTTAAGATATGACCCATGTATAAACTTCTAAGAAGTTTTCTGATTTAGGAAAAAAAAGAAAAAAGAAAATTAAAACACATACAAATCACTAACAAGAGAAAAATGAGAAGGTATAGGCCATAGGCAGTAGAGATATTGAAAACATTTGTGTACATCATATGAATATATCAGATTTTATCATCTTCCTTGCCAGTTTAATGAGTGGTGGTGGTGGAAGGAGAAATTACTTGGGCCTGGGCTAACCTGTTACCATGCTCCACGTGTCCATTAGAGCCCTTTCTCATCTCCAATATCCACCACACAGAGCCTTGTGCTGGCAACAAATTGGTTCTCTTCAATCAACGGACCAGATGCAACGAAAATGAAATTCGATAAAGAAAAAGATTAGACTAAGCGAGTTGCCTAACTTTTTAGTGTTACAAAATTAGAGGTAAGAAATAATTAAATGCAATACTGATTTTGATACACTGCGGACTTCGTCTATTAATATACACAAAACTAACAGTCGTCGGCAGGCAATCAAGAGGGTCACCTTCTAGACCGTTTTTTTGGTCTTTTTAGAGGTTCTTTTCCACCACCTTCTCTGGCTCTTTTTGTTGGAACGGGCTCGGCCTCTGCCTTCTTAGGTGGCCGCCCGACGCTGCGCTTGGAAGGGCTGGCATCATCCTTCACACGCTTCTTGTCGTTGCTTTGCCTTAACGATGCTCTCTCCTTTCCTTTGTCGCTTTTGGTGCTGCCCTTCTTTTGTTCTGCAGTTGCATTCCCACAACTACTACCGCTTCCAACTCGGCTGTTTCTTTTTATCGTCTCTGCGGGTGAGTTTTGCTTGATCCTCTTCAAGAAATCTGCTGCACTACGTTTCTTCTCCAGTGCAACTGTCTCGGGTTTCTTCTTATCTGGGGTTGATGTCTCCATTTCGTTGGCTGAACCGGGTTTCCATCCAGAACTTGCATTCTGTTTCTTGATGCTAGGACCACTAGAGTTTGTGGTGCTATCGTTGCTCCTCCTCATGCTTCTGGCTCCAGTTACGGGCTTCTCTTTCACCTTGCTGTCCTTTGTAGTACCATGGTCTTCAACAGCATTTGAAGCCTTTTTAACTGTTGGTTTTATATCAACAGCTGACTTTTCATCATTGCTACTCCGATCTTTTTCCCCAAGACTCGACGAAAGCTTGGCTGAAATCTTGCTCCGTTTTCGACAAACTATTATAGGAACAGAGGACTTCTGTTTGGCAAGCAAGGAATGTGAACCTTCCAGATCCGCACCCTTGGACCGGGAAGGAACCGCAGGGGATGAATCCACTACTTCAGGTGAAGGGTCAGTCCGAACAACCTGCAGACTCTTCTTCAGTTCATTGGAGACGAGAAGACGGAGTTCACAAGCAGCCACCGCCTCCTTGGAGAATTTGGGGAAGAAGATAACCGCATTGTTGCAAAGAAGCAAGAGATCTCGATAAAAAGCGAGGCTTGAAGACGAATAAGAGCCAGAATTGACCTTGGCTTGAACCATCTCCAAATCCAAATGCTGCCGTACCATGCCCTTGTACTCCTCCGACTCCTGCAAGCATCATCACAGTGGGTAAAACATATCATTCTCGTGATAACACAAAACAAAAAAGCAACAAAATTTGGCGAAATCTAAGACCAAATCGGTCAAGCTTCAAGAACACATGATTGAAATATAACATCTTTCCTCCACACCCCCAACTTTTCTCCCCCTTGGTATACAATATTAGCACAGAAAAGAAAGTTGAGATGGATGTTGATTCTAATTGTATATAAGAGGCAACACCCACAAATCCTGGTCTCGTGTCCCTATGGATCCTGTAATCTTTATTGGAAAGAGAAGGTTAAAAATAAATAAAATATAGATGAGAAGCTTACAGAAAATGTTTGGGTGAGTCAGCTTTGCAGGGGCAAATGGGAGAAGTGCCAAAACGCCAGGACAAAATACTATATCTTTATGACCCTTACGAATTTGGGATTAAAAAAAAAAAACATTTAAAGCACCAGTTAAACTTCTACAAATATTGATAAAAAGAAGAGATTTCTGTTGAAATTAAAAAAAGAAAAAAAGTATTTCTAAGAAACTATTTTCAAACCAACTATTTTGTAAGTTCTAATAAACCCGGTAAAATGGGTATTTGACTTAGAATTTCAAACCACTCACCTGCTTTCTAGAAAAGTTATAACAAATCTTAAAAACAAAGTAACAACAAATCTAAAAAAACAAGAAATGTATTCACTCAATGCGATAAAAATAAATTTAACAGTACAAAATTTAGACACCAATTTTAATTTTTTTTAAAGGAAAAGATGGTAACATAGAAAATTTGATAAGACAGACTACTTTACACTGTGAATGAAAATAAAAGGGATCACATTTGGAGAAAAAAATTCTTAAAATATAATTGGTTTCAAACTCTTCCGAGTTTACGATAAAGTGCATTCCGAAAAGAATTTTTTCTGTGACCGAATTATTTCAAAGAGATTTTGGGTAAAATTTTTCTTGATATATTATGAAGATGCTTTATCCAAAATTATCGTAGTACTGAATAAAATTATGCTTTTCTTTTATCAACACTTCTGTAAGTGCATTGTAATTTAGATTACTTATTTAAAAAATTTTAAATCCAAAACAAAAGTAGCAACGAAAAGCAACGTGATTTGAAGAGTTAATGGTCCCCCTTTCTTCTTTTTATTTATGTTCTCTATTGGAAATGGTCCAAATTTATTGGTCATAAAGTCTTTGGTAGCATGGGATTTTTTGCACTACCAATCTTCAACAACTGAAATTACCAATATACAGGCACAAAATAATTATTATGTTAAATTCTCATACCTCATATTTATGGTAAAAAAAATAATTAAGTTTAAATACTATTTTGAATTTGAACTCTTATCTTTGATTCAATTTTATTTTATTTTGGACCTTATATTTTAACTTTTCTTCATTTTAGTTCTACTTTTAGAAAGTTTGTTTGATTTCGATTAGAAAAAATTTAAGACAATAGAAACATTTTAATATAAATTTAGGATTAGATTTCAAAAAAATTTAGTGGGTGGATAAAATTACGATACTAAAATTAAGATAGAAAAAAATGAGATAAAAATAAAAATATAAGGTCCAAAATAGACATTTTGAAAGTATATAGACTAAAAAAATTGAAAGTAGAATAATCAAAATAATATTTAAACCAAATGATTATTACGTTTAAAACTTAATTAAATCCTGAATTTACGTATTTTTTCTACTTTGGCCTAACTTTTAAATGTTATATGCTGGACTTCTATATCCAGCAATATTAGTTTTCATTTCATTTTGATTCCTTAGCATATTTTATTTTAATATTTAAATTTTCTATAAATAATTATTTTAGTCTTCAGGCTTTAATTTATCATTAATTATCTAATGAAAGCTAAAAAGGGAAACTTTGTGAAACCTAACTAGTATATGATTATTTTGATCTAATTATTTAATTTTTCAAAAATAAAATAGGATTTAAAAACTAACTATTTTTTCCCTATTATTTATTTAAAAGAAAATGGAAATTGGGAAATATTTTACCTGACTTTGGAGACGGGATTCGAAGAAGGAGCCATGTTTATGCGCCCGTATCATCTGCAAAATATCGTCGAACCGCCGTGACTTGACGGTCGCCGTCCGGCGAGGTTCGTTGCCGCTGCTTCCGCCGGAGATCTCCTTTCTCAGGAGTCTCTTCCTCTTCATCCTCCCCGTCAAGCTTGCCGAGCTCTGTACTTCGCTGCTCTCCCTCGTCGCCGTCTCTCCTCCGTTCGACTGAGCCTCCGAGTCCGCCAACTCGGACGAGTCGCCGCCCACTCGCTGGGGTTTCTTTTCGGTTTCCGATATGTCGCACGTCGGGTTCTTAGCCACTGTGTCCGTACTGCCGTCATCCGACTGCGGACCGGCTGGTTCGGAGGCTCTCCGGTTCTGTTCTGATCTGAATGAGCCGGCAAATTCCGGTTTGGTTTCTGATTTAACGTTTTCGCCCGTGCTTTTTCTGTTGCCGCTTTTGGAACCGGTGGAATTGGACTGGTTGACGGAGAAGTCCTCCCGGTCGGAATCTTCGCCGGGAACCGCCGGCAGCGGCGGCTTCGAGACTGTTCCGTTCGGTCCGGACCGGTAATCTGGTTCTCCGAAAAGCTTCTTGTCGTTTTCTGATCGTCGTTCTCTGGACTCCGTTTTTAGATCTGGTTTTCCAGTGCCGGCGTCTCGGTCGTTCAGTCCGTGTTCTCGCTCCTCCTCCAATCTCTTGACCTTCAACTGCAACGAGCTGCCGAAAATCTCAATACGATGAACTCAGATCTGAAAGTAATAAGATGAAAAAATAATGTTCCAAAAAAAAGAGAGAAAAACGGAAAAATCCGAGAGAGAGATTTACCTGATTGAAACGTCATATCGCTGGACCTCTCGTCGGAGTTCTGCGACGCGAAGTTTCCTCAACTCATCGACCCAAGGGATGGCGTTATCGATCTTATCGGCAATTCCGCCGCCGTTCTGGTTGAAAACGGCGTCGTTTTGGAAGGATGTAAACCGCCGTTTCAGGTCAAGGAATTTGAGTTCGCAGTTAGGGGCGGTGATGAGGAGATGAGGGAGAGAAGAACGAGCCTGAACTTCCATGGCGACGGAATTCCAGTCCTTAAATCCATGGCGCTTAACGGCGCAGGCCAGTAAAAGCTCCTCCCAAGTCCCCCACGAGGCGGCGCTCTGCTCACTCTCTCGCTCTTTATCTTCCGCCATTAGATTGCAAAAAACAGCATAGAGATTCCCGATTAGCCACTCTTCCTTCTCATCCCTCCAATTTTTGCTCCCTCTTTTTAAATTTTTTTCAAAAAGAAAAATCACAGAGTTTGTTATTTAGGGTTTCTGCGTCGTCTTCTTCCTCCCCTTTCCCCTCCTCTGCGGCGTGACCCAAAAGAAAGAAAAATCCGAAGCTCGTTTCAAAAAAATTTAATTGGGTTATTTATTTTTTTTCTTTTCCTTCTCTCTCTCTTTTTGAAGATTTGAGAGAAATGAAGCGAAATGGAAAACCAAAAATCTTCCGTTTCGTTTGGTTTTGGTTTATATGTAGTTTTGATTCAATCTGGGCCTCTGATCTCTTGAACACGCAATTTGGTTCGTGAATTTAAGTGTTTTTATGTTAATGCCCTCGTAATATTTCTGAAATTACACCCCTTGTCCTCCATTCAAATTATCAAATATAAAAGAGGGAGCGGCGTTCCCGAATTTACGATTTAGCACTTTGCCTCCCTCCTTTGCTTTGCTTTATGTCATTTATCTCTTCGCCCGATTTTGGAATTTTTTTCCCTCATATTTTTTATTCTACATTGTGATTTGATTTATAAACTTTTTAAAAATTATTTCGGTAAATCGGAAAAGGTTTATTTTAGTTTTAATATTATTTTTTAATTATAATCTCTAATAATTTTTTATTAATTTTAGAATGATATATATATATATATATATATTCAAATCACAAAAAGAAAAAGTAATGGCTAATCGCTTTAAATTTGACTTAGTTTTGAATATATATATATATATATTTTTTGAAAACTCGAACACATGACTTTTTGAATACGGTAATGTTAATCAATTGAGCTAGGTTTAGGTTTGCATAATTTTGAACATTTTAATTTGGTTGAATTTTGCAACTGATAGATCTTTAACATTTTTGATATTTTTTTTAGATTCACGAACTTAGTCACAAAATTAAATTTTGTGTTAGTTAGAAATTTAGAATTATGTAGGTAAATCCGTAAATTTTTTAAATGTTGGATAGACTATAGATCTATTAGACATAAAATTTAAAATTCAAAAACTTACATGGTAATTTAACCCTAAATAGAAGACATGTCACATTTAATTTTTGTTAAATGATTTACAAAGGATCAATTACTAAACTCATAAAAAAATCAATTACTAAAATATAATATAATTTTTTAATATAGAGTAAAATGCATTTTTAATGTCTCCACATCGAGCCTCGTCCCCGCAATTTGGAAAGGGTGGAGATTCCCTAGTTATTCTTTGCTGGGATTTTTTTAATAATATAATATATATTTGAATAAGCAATCTTAATATTTTAATAACAAATATTTAAAATCATTAAACAGACCATTTAAAAATAATTAGAATGTTTAATGTTGCTATTGTTCTGTAGTAAAAGATACATACAATTTAAACAAAATTTTTTTAAAAATCTAACATAATATTATACATATTTTTGTAATCTTGTTCCCCTCATAAAGTCACCATAGGAATACATGATAAAATAAAGTGCAAGAAACTCCACCCTAGTCTCCATCTATTTTCTTTGAAAAATTAGATTCTTTTTTAAGACAAATATATTGTGTGTTGGATCTGTTCAAGTAATGTGGCTTATCTCTTCTCTGAAGTGAGTGTTCTTATCTCGAATTCGAAAATAACGAAGTGATGGATTACTTTGTCTTTTTTATAGGTGATTACAGGTTAATCAGTTTGGTAAGAAGACTAATAATTCTAGCCTTCAATCTTGACAAGGGTTAGTCTGGTGGTGCTGACTGTGCCCAGTCAGTCTCGTTGTTAATGCACACTAATGGTGATAACAGCTTTGCCAGATCGAGTTGATTCTCTTCCTTCGATCGACCGATGGTGTCAGGTCTAAACGATGTCCGACATGTGGTAGGCTGGTTTTCTCCCTCGTAACATTGTGTTCATTTGACCATTATTTAAAAAAAATTAAATTACATTTTCAGTCCCTAAAATTTGAAAAATGATTCTAAATAGCCATGGAGCGACCATTAGTTGACTAATGCTAAAATGATGGGTTTTGCTGATGTGGTAAAAATATAATAATTTGATGTCAAACATAATAATAGCTTAACGGTAATTAGAGAGAAGTTCAGTCATCCAACAATATTATTAAAAGCAAGGTTCAATCGACAATTTAATGTATTTAAAAAGAAAATCAGCAATTTAATCGTCATATTATCTTTAGACAACTAAYAGTCAAATGATCTCAAAGATTATACCTTTAGAATAATTTTTCAAACTTTAGAGACTAAAGTATCTACTCAAATGAATATTAATGACCCAACAAATCTCTTAACTTATTAAATTCTTTTTTAAAATATAGAGAAATGTTTTTTTAGTACGTAACGCGGAGAGGTTAGAAATTCATTAAATTTTTAATTGGACATGTTATCATAAAGTTATTGAAAGATTTTAGACATAATAGGGAATTCTTTTTAATCTTTTTACATCTTTCTCTCTTTTTTTTTCTCTTCACATCTTGTTTAGCATGTCATTTGCCTTTCCATATTTAAAATATGATTAATTAATCGCTTTAATTGCACAATTAATTTTTTTAGAACAATTTAAAATTAATTTATTAGTCAAATAAGAATAGATTATTATTATTATTATTTTAATAATCCTGACTTCAAAACAACATTAAATAGGATCTTAGAAAGTTACTAACATGAATAATACATCAATGGAGTACTGGAATATCAAATTTAAAATTGATATTCTACGTGCAATTCTACCTGACTTCAAATATTTAAAAATATATCAAATTTAAAATTAACAATCTACGTGCAAGCCACGTGATACATTATGGGTATTAAATAAAATGTGCCAAAATTTGTGTTATTTTTATAATTTTGAGACTTTTTTTCTGCTGAGACAAATGTGGGGATGAAAAACGGAACCTCCAATCTCTTGGAAATAAGTAAAATGTGTAAATAACTATGTTATATTCATGTTGGCTTATGATTTTTAGATTGAATATATCTGTAAAAATCATTTTAATTTTTAATATCATGTGGATCTACCCACCTTTCTAACGTCAAAAGTTTCTCTAATTGATCAAGTTTAAAAATAATAATAAATTATTATTATTAAAATACACTTTTTGTTGTATTTGGGAGTCTAAAAAAGGGTGGATGATTTAATATGTGTGTTTTAGCTTGGTTGGATTAGATGTTTAAATTTTATATTTTATATTTTAGAAATGTACAGTTGATTTTGTATATCAAATTTTCCTTAGTTATAAAATTGCAAATTTGTGGATGAGATATATTTAGATTTCTAGGGTCGGTTTGAATCGAATTGGTTAAGACTGTTCATTTTTTAGAAGATCGATTTTAAATATTGATTCGTTTGATCGTTTAATCGAAGATAGGTGTTTCTAATCTTATGCTCAGGTTGACACATTGAAAAAATATCAAACCAACAAAATGCTTGAAGTTTTATTAACCTATTTTCATAATTTTTTAGGACTACATGCAGCGCGGGAAATCGGACTCACAGCCTCTTAATTGAAGTTATAGGTCAATTATCGTTGCTCGCTTTAGCATGTGACATATTTTAGTATCCTTGTAGCTTTTATTTTATTTTACTATTTTTTAATCATTTTTTATTCCTAAAATTGGCAAGTTGAATTAATTTCACTTGCAAAATTTACCACATATTAAATTTTCGCTAATTTCACCAATTAATTTTAACGAAAAGTAAATATCAATTTAATGAAAATTAAGCTTTATACAAAAAATTCAATCATTAAATAATTCCGAGAAAACTTACAGATCCCAATAAAAAACCAAATTTTAGTGTCATTTTTGTCTAAATCCTATCAATTTCATGTCACATGTATGTTTTTTTTAATTCATTTCACATATATGAAACTTATTTTTAAAGTTTAATGTGCAATATTTATTCAAATTTAATTAGAAGAAATTTAGAGTTTATTGTACAAATTAATATACCTTATCAAGGGTTAAAATTGATAATTTTTTTAATTGTGACGTGAAGACCCAACCTTAAACCTTAGCGCACTATGCTCATATACTCAAGCTTAAATGTTATATTTTATTTCTTAATTTCTAAAAATTGTCAGAGATAAATTTTCAAAAGTGTTAATAAGGGAAATGAAATTGAAAGATGCATGCAATTATTCATATCTAATTATAAATGAAAATCAATACTAGAATTTTTTTACCAATGAATGGATTAACTTACTTGATCTATAGAGAATCAATTTATTTGACCTCAAAACAAAATCCAATAATTGGAATCAGATTCGAACAACTCTACTTTTCATTCCCATATTTGTTCCCTTTTCTCCCCACGATAATCACAAAATCAAGCAAAACCCTAAAAAGAAGAAATCTTGTCGGCCCATGTAAAGGCCCAGGCCCATAATGCAAATTGGCCATAAACCCATTTAAGGCCCAAAATTATTTATTCCATTCGTGGGCTTAATCCACTAACTAAAAAGATTACCCAAGTGCCGCACGACGTCGTATTGCTAGTTTAACGAAGCAGATGCTGAAAATTGGGCTGCTGTCTCACACTTCTCTTAAAATTGGGCCATTACGTTTGGGCTTCAGTAAAACTGAGTACTTTTTGAGAAATTATATGCTCTATATAGCTATTTTTTGTCATGCATTTTCCAAAAAGGAAAAGAAAAACCCCAAAATTTAAATGATATTTCAAGATTTTCCAGATTTACACATGTTTTTTCTTTTTTGGATTTTGATTTGAACTTTTTATGACTGGTTGGATATTTTATTAATTAAATTTTGGGCAAATTTACTTGATTTTAGGTTACTTTGTAACTTGATTTTTATAACAAATTTAATAAAGTTTAAAGCAATAAACTGAAGATTGACTCACCATTTTTTGACATAAATTATGGATATGTAATATTAGATGAATTTCTCCAAAGTTCAAAAATTCTTCAATAGGAAGTCTATTTTTGATCTGTGCATTAAAAATAATTTTTGGTATCAAAGTCATATGTGATGTTCGAAGCCAAATTAAATAATGGGATTTTGGTCCAATGTCTTCAAATCTTAGCGATAAATCTATAGTATAAATATTTAAATCGTTTAATATTTGCTTGAATGATTGAAAATTTCCAAACAAAATATGGAGTCCAAATGTATGATAAGAAATGGTTTAGCTAATGGAGGTATCGATTACTTCTTTTGGGAATCAGCAACACATTTGACATTTTATCAGGTCCAAAATTAAAATATATCCTTATGATTCAAAACAA